TTCAGAGTTGCAACGACAACACCAGGTTTTGATGCCGAGTATGATTTACGACGATCCGCCTTAGTAACAGATATATTTGAAACCTTTAAGCCCTCTCTAACAAGGTCATTCACTTTAGACTGAGTGTTTTCACTAACGCTTTCTGGCAAATTTCTAATAACTATATTCATTGACCTATCAAACGGCACAGGCTGCAATTCATTTGATATTAATTGAGCCGATGAGGATAACGAGGAGATCTGATCCCGAATATCTGTCAAATCAGCAGTAAGTTCGGCTTTAATAGAGTCTTTAAACGAGTCGAATTTATTGTCTACATCTCGTTTTATTCTGTTAAGTTCACTGTTCACACGTTTATCAAGTAATTGTGAGACTTTGTTGGCAATACGCGATTCTAGAGAAGATTGCAACTCATCGAAACGTTCATTTATTGACATATACATCATGTTAACATCAGCTGATAGTTTATCAAAAAGCTGCTGAAGCGAAGGGGTTGCACTAACATGCACATCTGCTTGATCTATAATAATACTACGTTGTGTCGGTTCCGGAACAGATTTATACAAATTACGTCTAGCTTTCAGAGGAGTACGTTCAATATCTATAACATTAGGTGAAATCATACTTTTAGCTTTCTTTGAAGCAGTGTCACAAGTTCCTGATACTGAACGGTGTCGTTTTCGACTACTTGTATGAGGAGTATTAACTTTAGTTATCAAATTTGTCGACATAATTGATTCCACGTAATCTATAGCCTCAGAAGAGCGTACCATAAAAGACTCCCCTTCAGCCATTGCTATAAACTAAGCCAGCTAAAGGGAGCTAACTGGAATAATATTAGTATTGCACCACACCGAGCGCGTCGCTGGACCGTGAATGCAGGTACCGTTTTATTTATCCGAACAATAGCAAACTTTAGTCAATAGCGCTAATCACTATACTATGCGTATTCATGCGTGACGAAATTTCGTCGATAAAATGTTTTCAATTTGTGACCACTGATCATCAATAATCAAAGAGTCCAGAGTTACTATAAATAGCAACATACACAAAGGGTCCAAAATGAAATGTGTTATAAAGTCACAAATTTCAAATGTCACATACCAGTTTTAAAGCCCTAATTCCTTTATCCAACTATTTACACAGATATATCCAAAAATCTCACTCATTTACACTTTATATCGATATAATATAGCAAATGTTATCACAAACTGAAAAGAAACGTCTTATTGACTATAACCGGAAGTCAACTCCTGTGTATATATGTCTGTGTGTATACGTGCGTGCGCGCGCGCGTGTGTGTATGTATATACATGTATGAATACAGTTGAGTTCACACTAAAGGTTACACAAAGTGCACTAGGAGTGCACTAGATGTGCACTACTAGTGCACTACAAAGTGCACTAGTAGTGCACTTCATAAGTGCACTTTGTAGTGCACCAGACCTATTATATGTATTAAGCAGTTACCTTTTATTTCACTGAAAAGCAATTTGACTTTTACAAAAAGATAGAAAATATAGATATCTGTATAATAGTTTTTCAATAAAAATTTGAAATTGTGATTATTGGATTTTGTAAAATATGGCGTAAAATATTAGAACAATAAATTTCAAAGTCATTAATGTTACTGATTTTGTACTTTAAAATTTAATTGTTAGAATAAGTAATTTAAATATAAATAATTATAACTTTAATGTTGATAAGTGCATAAATAAACAAACTTAATTGATATTTAATATGATTCTATTTTATTATAATCTGGTAATGAAATATGAAAACATTGAAATGCTAATCAAACAAAATTAAGTCAGTTCTTTTTTGGGGGGAGGGGGGAATTATACCGTAGTATTAGTTATTTTTGATCTTAACTTATGGTTGTTTTAGTTAAAGGTAATGATTTTAAGCATTAATAGCCTTTAATACATTAAAGAATTAATATATTTATAATTGGCCTAAATTTTTGTCAATTTTATTTCATTTATGATCTCTCTTACCTTCTCAAACTGAGATTTACCTAAGATTAATATAAATGATATATATTATTCTGAAAATAAATATTTATATATAATGGTGGTATGTATTGATATGTGTGGATTAAGTATTGATATGTACCTGTGGGATACTAGTATACTTAAACTGACATGGATATTAACAAAAAGATTAGAAAATCTGTCAATTCCATTTTTTGAGACGACACCAATCTTTTTTCCTTTTTTTTTCATGCATTGTAACATTATTATGCAATATGATTAATTTTATGAGTTTATTATAAATTGCAAAAATATTCATTTTTCTTTTTGTACTATTTGTAATGAAATTTATTTGCACCAACATCCAGAGAATACAGAATTTACATTGCCTAATCTGGCTTATGTTATTTACCCTGAGGGGCTCTCTTATCAGCAGGGTACTATATCAAAACACCTATACACAGCATGACTTTTGACACTTTAATCTCCTGTAACTGTTTTCTGCTCATGTATGATATTAAATTAAAAAAAAAAAAAAACAGAAAAAAAACAGATCTGCATTAAAGTGAAAAGGAAGTTGCAAAAGTTTTATAATCATGTATTTAAATAATATTTTCTTTAAAATATATTATCTTCTAAATGCGTAAAAACTGACAAGGCAAATTTGTCAATTCTATAATAGAAAAAAATAACAATTCCCAGTTCAAAAACTAAAAGATGCTGCAAATTTTAATGCAGAATTGCAAGAAATGTAAAAAAATATTGATACAAAGTCTTTGAGAATAGTTAACACTGATATTGGTTTTAAACCAGTTTTTTATAATAAGATTAGAAAATTCCACTTCAAAGACAATAAATGACAATAATATCTAACGTGCGTTTATGACATTAAGATTATTTTTTACATTTGATTATACAAAAAGTATAGTCATTTATCGATGACTTACATGTATTTTGGGGGAAAAAGGGAAATTTTCAATAAATATTGCATACATTTGCATTTTTGTTATTTACCCTGAGGCCCCCTTATCAGCAGGAGACCAGTGTAATGAAAACAGTCGCTCTCAAAAAAATACCAATACACAGCATGACTCGAGACTTTGCTCTTGTATAAAAACATTTCCTTTATACATTACATTTTTAATGTAGAAATCTTGAATAAAGTTATCAATTTTATTTATTTTATGGAAAAATTTTAATTATGTATATCTTTAAAAAGTATGCAAGCATTTTATGGTTGAAAAACATAATATCACAGTGTATAAAATGTTTTAAAATTAATCAATTAATATTCTCTTTCAATCTTGAACATGAGGAATTGCCTCTTAAGTTATATATTATCACGGATTTATATTAATAGTATATAGTAATATAAATCCGTGATATTATTATGCAGAATGGCAAGAAATGTGGATAAATGGATACATATAGAAAATTCCGCTTTAGAGACAATAATATCAGAGACATAGATAACATCAGAACAGAGCAGAACAGAACAGAACAGAACAGAATTTTTATTAACGTATACAATACATGTATCTTGTTAATACAACATCAAATTAAATACATACAATATCTATGTCTCTGATAATATCTATTATGCATTTATGCCTTTATGGTTTTTTTTGTATATTTGATTATACAAAAATTATGGTCATTTACTGAGTGCCAACGCCTGATGTATCCCAGGCTTATGTCTAACATGCATTTTGAGAAAACCAGGGAATTTCAATGCATTCTTATAAATCTGCAAAATTGACTGTTCTTTGTTATTTACCCTGAGGCCCTCTTATATCAGCAGGAGAGTGGTATATTGAAAACAGTCCCTCTCAAAAATACCAATACACAGCATGACTTGAGATTTTCCTCTTCAATAAAAGAATTCCCTTTATACATTAAATTTTTAATATTAAAAATAATGAATAAAGATATCAAATTTATTTATTTTATGGATAATATTTAAATTATTTGCATAAACATATGCAAGCATTACACAGTTGAATACTAAATTATCACAGTATATTGATTGTTTTAAAATCAATGTATTAATATTCTTTTTCAATATTGAACATGATGAATTGTCTCTAAGTTATATATTATAGAAATAATATTTTAGCTTAAATATAACCTTTCCTTGATTTGTTTGAGCTTATGAAAAAAGTTTATGATATAACAAACTAAATTAATCGGGCCAGAATTATCACATTGATTTATACCATTTGTACACTAGAAAAATTGAAATATATGGCCATTTAAAAAAGCTTTAAAAACACTTATTTAATTATCCATTATGGAGCATATTTAAATTTAACCTTATTAATTCTATAAATTTGATTTTAAGGGGTATTATTTTTCACTTACAGTCAAATACTGGTTAATAAAAATATGATTACAATAAATGAAAAAAAACATTTTAATTTTAAGCTTCAACATGATAATCACCTAAAATGTTAAAACTGCTGATTTTAAAATTTACTTATTTATATTCATGAATAGGCCATATATATATTTTCCCAATTTATTTTTTTCATACAGCAGCGTAACAATGGTATACAATTATCCAATAAACCATTTAGGTGTCACCTTCCCTGGCCAGCCTGGTCATATGGTCTAGTGCACTAGAAGTGCACTTCTAGTGCACTTCTAGTTCAGCTCTAGTGCACTAGAAGTGCACAAGGGTGGGAAGTTTAGTGTGAACTCAACTGTATATGTATGTAAAATAGAGAGAAATAAGAATCCCTAAAAAAAGCCCAACACGGCAAAATTGAAAACTGAAAATTGAAACCATGTTTAATGACGGTCCATGCGCCCGTTAAAGCACAAAAAGCAGCTTTCGCTGTCGAGTACAGATTCCGGACTTAAATGGGGCTAATTTTGAAGCACTTAGTGGTGATAATTTTCCTCGGTGTTCTTTCCACGGAGTATAAGCAGAAGATATGAATTTTGAGGCGATAGTAAGTACGGCGGCCAATGAGAACCTAAATGTACAGTTGACCTGTGACAAAAAAATCAATAAATCTTAAAATCATTGGGGAACAATGTATCTATTTTCTGAAGGGTGACCGCTAATGTATGTAGACGGACTGCATGCGGCTTTTGATAAAAAAAGCGATGCATAGGCTTCGAATTTATGCTTACATTATTGGTTTGGGTTTAAAGACCCAAACAATTAAAACAAGAGCCACCGCCTAGCTGTGACACGCTCGTTCGACATTCTCTTATTCATCGGAGGAAGACTATTGTAGTGAGAAATACTCTAACAAAACACTAACAACAAAATATTGTTTTGGACGAAACGGGAACGGAAACGATGACTGTAGCAATAGATCAATTATTTTCTCCGAAAAAAAAAAAAACAACAAAAAAGTCAAGCTAATAAAACAGTACAGTTGAACTGGTGAATTAAGGCCGTCTAAATTCTAAAATCCAAGTGTTCTTTATTCGGAATGTACTTTGCTGTATTTTTTCAATGATGGTTTTCAAATAGGATCTTTAGTTAGAGGGTGGTCTTAAATCAGAGGTTAACTTTATTTACCAAAGATTTGACTGTATCTTAATTCTGGAATACCACATTCATAGTGTTTGTAAATAAAAACTTACTTCTTTTCATACGGGCATATTGTATTCTGCCAAAGAACCTCTGAAAAATGTTTCCATGATTCTGTATGTCCTCTGAAAGGATAATTGTAACATACAATATTTTAATCAAATCAGTATAAAGAAATAAAATATATACTTTTCAAGACGTGAACCATTGGAATGAAAAGTGTAAGGATTATGAAAATAGCTTCTATTTATTATGACTTTGTTTACACTTACCATTGCTGTGTTGACGTATAATAATTGATGTGTATTGTATCATACCGGGAACAATAACCGCTTAAGTGTGCTGTAAAAGGACAGTACAATTAAGGTGGTGTATGATAACAGTAACCACTTAAATTGTGTATACTAAGAGTTGCAACTAAATTGATCTGTATAACAACAACAACTTAACAATGCTGATTGCCAACAGTAACCAGGATTGTTGTATGATGATGGAACCACTAAAATATGCTTTATGTAACATTAACCACTTAAGTGAACTGTATAGTAACATTAACCACTTAAAGTTTGCTGTTTAGTAACATAAAATAATAACAGTTAATGGAGAGTAACATTAACAATTAAAACTTTCTGTTTAGTTACATCAACCACTAAAGCTTGTTGTATAGTAACATTTACTATTAATGTGTGATGTATGTTATTCTGACACTATCGGAAATTGTTCTATATGAACAAAGAATGCCGGAAGCGTGCATTATTCTACATAAATGCACTCGCCGTTTTTATTACCTCCCTGTGCATTTTCAAACCGACACATTGACGGCGCCATTTTGCTTGAAAAATCTGATAAATACATTTTTTGTCGAATTTTGTTGTGAAAACTATCTAGAATGAAAAAGTGTCTAACCGAACACGAATGTCTTTAATTCAGTTGTAACGCTGTACAGACGTTTAAAGTATTGTTTAGGCGAGCGCAAATCAGCACGTGCAAAACAATCAAATCAAGAACGCTATTTCAATGTCGCAAACGAGTTAAATTTCACATTTATCTCACTGTTAATACTTACTGTATTTCGTTTGAAAAATATAGAGTGAAAAAAAATAAACAAACAAAGTTTTATCAACGTTTCCAAAATTCGTTATTCACACAATGTTTCTTCACACGGTTGTTTTAATAGCAGCTTCTTTAACAACCTTTAAAGAACGTATCTGGCAAAAAAAAATTAACCAACAAACATAAAGTCCAACCATATAATAATTTATATATTTTTTCTTTACGTGTTAGAATGGAATTTAATTCTTCGTGCATTATAGTTGAATGATGCACGGTATTTCGTAATTAATCGGCCTTCGTGATAAAATTCTTACGCATATGCACTCTAACCGTGCATTATTCTACAAGAATGGACTCAGAATTGATATATTTTTCCTAAACAATTACCACTACAACTGAATGAATGAAAACATTAACTACTTAAGTTTGCTGTATAGTAACCGTTACCACTAAAGTATGATTTTTAGTAACATTATCTATAAGATAACACATGGGTTTGTCGAAAACAGTAAAATATCATCCCATAGAATATACTGTAACAGTATTTTTACGAGTGATGATCTTTTACTGTTACTCGCACACCCACGTGTTATTTATCTTATTACCCCAACCAAATACTGTAATTATTTGAAATTTTCAACTAGATATACTGTAACAAACTTGAACTAAGAGTAACAGTAACCTTACCTTAGTTTTGTAGGTGTACTTGAAAAGTTAATTATCTTTAAATCTTAAAGTAAATAAGGACATATACCAGTCACAAACATAGAATATGCTATGTTTCATAACTTTATCATAATCAAAACACATGTAAACCCATTTATACCAGTATAATCTGTGACATCTGATCATGTCCAGAATATTCATAAAATGGTATTTGACCATAGCAATTTACGATGACATCCCTTTTCTGTCTATCAAATCTGTTGTGTTTCACAGATTAAATTAAATAAATAATCATTTGTTACATGCTTTAATACAGTACGCTCACTGCGGGTTTTGCTTTTTCCGCGATACCACCGCGGACGATTTCTTTTTATCGCGGACAAACGCGGGGGTTCGTCCGCGATGAGAAGCCTAATTTCTCCGCGATCCCCGGTGTTCAGTTGTGTCCACCGCGGACAAAATTCGGACGACCGTTCTTCATTTATCGATAAAATCAGTCACCCGTTTCCCGCGGGGGAACGCCATGGTCAGTTGGTCAGAATAAATTAACCTCCAAAAATAATAGACGTTTTATCATTTTTTAACGTCATCTTTTTTACACAATGACTTGAAAATTGACCACAATCGTCTCCTTAAATGTTATTATACGTTAAATTATTTGAACGGAATTTGAAATAAAAATAATTACAGCTGTACCTGTTTTTGTTGTTGTTTTTAATATTTTTGTTATAAACGTCCACAAAACTATTCGTCCACATACCAATATTTTTACAACTGAAATCGTCATTTATCACTGTCATCTTTACTAGTTCATTCCATGTGGTTCTATAAGTATTTTTGCTATTAAACTATATGGGAGCCATAAATATGATACTTAGTAAAAAAAGGACATTTGTGCTGATTTCTCAATGATGACTGACGCTACAGTACATGTCCTGTAAGAGGTCGATGAGTGTGAATACAAGACAGGACATAAATAAAATACATGTACATATATTAGAAATAAAAGAAAAATATATTTAAACCATCTATAAGAATTTATTTGTATGCAATTATATTCTTTAAAAACGGGTAGACTTGTTTTTTTGTGTTTTTTTTTACAGTAAAAATCCCGTCGAAAATGGACATGAGAAATATGCATGACACTTGCCAAAAAGTTTATGTATACTGTACATACCGTATATATATTTGACACAAATTCAAAAAGATTCTCTTTGCCATCATGTCAGATATTGTCGGATATTGTATATTGTCAGATATTGTATATTGTCATATTTTTTATGATCAACATGCAAATAAACAGAAACAGTAAAACGCATCTGACAATTGAAAGAGACGTCCTGGAATATTGCCTGAATAAAATTGTTGAGGGTTACGTTTTCAAAGTTTTTAAATAAGAAACAAAAGCTGGCATATAAATTGTTGTAGTATCTTTTTCATAAATGTCATATGCCGAATTTTTCATTATTTGACTTCAAGTTTCTCACTACCATGAAGTTGCGACGACAATGATTTATCTTGATGTCGAATACATATTATACATTACCCAACACAATAACAAGAAGAAGAACAAGAAAAACACTGCATTTGTACATGTACTTTTATTACAACAAAAAAGAAAGAAAACAAACAAATTTTACATATAGTTACATGTATATGTACAGTACATGTTACAGTACATGTACGTACGTATACTGATGTTTAAATACAGTAATTAATTTTTAAAATTTAAGGTTTCCACCGCGTTGACCGGTGTTTGACCGCCGCGTTCCTCCGCAATTTACCACTGCGTTCCGCGGGGGAAACGGTTTCAGCCGCCGATTTATGTCCGCGGTGGTGAAAATTTTCTGTCCGCGGGGTCACGCGGACAATATCTGAGCAAATTTTCGTCCGCGGTAAACCTCATCCGCGGGGTCACGCGGGTTTTGAAAAAGCCGCGCTGAGCGTACTGTAGTCTGCTTGTTTCGTAATTATTCCAACAGGTGCTGGTCCAGTCTTGGATCCCACACAACTTGCATCTACCACCTAGCCCCCCCCCAAAAAAAACAAAAAAAAAACCGCACCATGTTGAATGTAAGAAAGAAATGGAATTTCATTTTCTATACGTGTATATACTTTACCACGAAAAGGTCACCTAGTGGCCGTAACGCTATGGAGCTTTACTAGGACACAATGTGAAACAACCACAATGTCAAGTTCTGTATCAGTACAAGCTATTTGCTAGGTGTCCCAAGACTGGACGAGCACCAGTTGACTGGACCTGCATCTGTCATTATTCCTACGCAAGACCTTCCGCTGAAAAAGGATTGTTCCTTTTTTACCATTTTCGTGGTGGTATTATTAATATTTAAACAATTTAGTTTACAATGATCTCTCCGGATCTGAACGTATTTCATTTTTTTCCATTTTTTTTATCGATATAGGAAAGTTGTCATCGGGCGGGTCAAACTACAAGAATATATTCCATTTAAGTGGACATTTCAAATAAGCGATAACAAATTAAACAGGCGATAAGCGATAAAAGTCCGGCATGAAAAGTAAAAATGATGTAAAATGTTACATATGTTAAAAATATTTACTTTAATATGACTCACAATACTTTACATGTACTTGGTATTAATTACCAAATTTCTATAACCCTAGAAATGCTTGAAAAATTTCTTCAGACACCGCAAACTCAGGTCGTCAATCATATTAGAAATAGTGACAACAGGGTCAATGTATAGCCCGTGTACAACATCTACACAAGTTAAAATTCCATCAAAGGTAAATCATCAAAATGTTTCACACAATGTGCCTTCAGCAGATTTACAAGTAAAACAATCACCTTTCTACAAGTAAAAACAGAAGTCAACCATTGGGTTTCTTAATGAACAATCCTCAAATTAATTATTCTAACACTGAATACATATAACCAGACCTATTTGGAATAAATGACAACTCTGGATAAGAATATGAATTTTATCTCAATAATCACTGGCTTGAAATTGAAGCAGGTGCTCAGAATAAAAATAGTATTTTAAATGTTGATGATCCTCTTGTTGAAACGTCATCAAGAGTTGTATTTGCCACCCAAGTTGACTAGAACGAGAAATTAGTAACAAGATGACCTAAAATTGACAATGAAGAAATGCAAGACTCTATATTTGTGAAAGTAATTTAAATTGTGATTGGAAGCGGTATAAAGCAAGTGACCGATGCATTTGAGATAAATAGGAGAGCCATAAGAGGAGTGGATAAAACCTTAGGGCAACCTGATGGAAACAACTGATGACAAAACTGAATAGAAACCTGGAACGAATGGGCGAGGAACAGCGAAGAGTGCATGAAGGGCGAAAGGAAGGAAGTCATAGTGAGTAATCGGTTAGGCTAACAGATGAGATCAGGAAGGAGAAAACAAAGAAGA